TGCATACTAGGCTGGTATTTTCACTGAGCGGTCCACCAGAATCTCAAGATCTCTTTCTTGGTCAGTCACTGTTGGCTAAGGTTATATATGAAGTACGGTGTGATCCATAACAGGACCTCTCCTCTTATTCCATGTCTGCTAATTCTGCTCAGGAGTCTTTGATAAGGAACTTTTTCAAAGGCTTTTCAGCAGTCTAAGCAAACAGTATCTATCTGATCACCCCTCTCTACATGTTTTTTGACACTCTCAAAGAGCTCTCAAAGACAGGACTTAAGTTTGTGGAAGCCATGCTGATTCTTTTCCCACAGGGCTTGCCCTTCTATATGCTTATTAATGCTATCTTTAATAATGATTTCAAACAATTTACCTCAAACAGACGTTAAACTAATTGGCTTCTAATTTACCCCCACCTCCCTTTTTAAAAATTGATTTTATACTGGCCATTTTCCAGTGTTCAGGCTGATCTTAGGGGCATATCCATTTTTTTTGTAAGGAGACCAGCAGTTTCATATCTGTGTTTTTAAAAAACTCTAGGATGGATACCATCTGGGGCTGGCAATTTTTTAACTTTCAGATGTTGGGCTGAAGCTTCATCTTTTGTCATCATTATCTGTCTTAGTTCCTCAAACTCCTTTCCTGAATATATCAATTCAGGAACAGAAATCTGTCCTGTATCTTTTACTGTGAAGAGAAAAGAGGATTCATTAACCTTCTCCACAACCTCCTTATCCTCCTTTAGTATTCCTTTAACTCCATTATCATCCAGTGGTCCAACTGCCACTATAGCTGCTTTTCTGCTTCTGATATACTTAAAGAATCCTTTATCATTGGCCTTGCTATTATTTTTAACATGCTCCTCAGAATGCTTTTCTTCTCTTAGCATCTGCTTGAACCCACTTATGGCATACATCTATCTGAGCTACTATTGTGGTTCTGATCATTCTCCACACATTCTCTGCACAATGCTTTACACATTACTTTTTTGGAGTTTTACTTTTCTTTTAACTTTACCAGTTTCCTTTTCCATTTTATGACCAGCCATGGCATTCATTTTGTGAAGAGATGAGCCTGCCCTCATGGCAACCATAAAACTCTCAAAATTCCAAATGTACTCACCAGACCAAACAGTTTGGGACCTCAGATTTTCAGCACAACTAATACTGGATTAATCTAAACTATTATCATCTGGGCTCCCACTGGAATGATCTTCAATCAACATGAGATCACAGCTTACAACTGATTGCTATTAAATACAGGCTTGGTCTACATATAGTTTCGGAGAACAGTAGAGAAAGCATGATGATGATCATGTGATACCTTGATGTCACAGCTGATGGTGGGAATGTATAAACCTTATGCATAGTGTGGAGAAAGTGTAAAGAAGAATAGTTCTCCCATAGTATTAGAACTCATTGTCCCATGAAGATGGATGGTGAGCAATTTAGGACAGAAGAAAGAAAGTGCTTGTTCGCACAACACATGCGTTGTGAAATTCACCACAACAAGATGTAGTGATGACCTCCAACTCGGATGGCTCTAAAAAAGCATTAAACACATTCAGGGCTACCAAGGGCTCCTAGCCATGATGGCTCTCTATTACCCCCATCCATACACCAGTTGATGGGAAAGACGCACGTGAGGGTCATACTGCACCCATGCGCTGCTTGTGGGCTTCCCAAGGATGCCTGGCTGGTCACAGTGCAAACAGAATACTGGACTAGAGAGGACTTCAGTCTGATCCAGCAGGGCTCTTCAGGCCATTTGCAAGATGCTTTCGCCTGCATGTTGCGTGTGTGCGCGTGTGCTACCAGCACCATCTCAGTAGTCCTTACAATGGGCTTTGTAAAATAAGCGAGTGCCATTAGCCTGATGTGGCAGACGGGGATGGAGGGTGAGGAGTCTGAGAGAAATGGGTTTAACAAAAGCCACCCGAAGAACTGAAATTAAGAAGCGATGTTGACTGGGGAAATTCAGGTCATGAATCATGCATTTAAACATTTCAATGATATGCTGCAATCTTAAACACCCTTTCTGGAGAGAAACTCCCACATAACCCAGTGGGAGTTGATTAGGAATTTATGGTCGGTCAACTACCAGGAACAGTACCGGTGCTGAGGGTCTGCTACAAACACGGCTGGACCGAGGCCATGAGGGGACCCTCCCTGGGCCACAGCCCCCATTTTGCCTCCAGTGCTGAACTAAGGCATGACATTAGTGCACCTGCATGCACATATGCGCACTTCCCAATGAAGTACAATCATGATGCACAAACATTTTGTACTGCATACGTGGCAGGAATAATCTTCCATGCTTTCCTGGAAGCAAAAGACTCCTAGCAATTCAAAAGACTCCTATCAAGAAACTGTGTTAATAGCAAAAACAACTAAGACCACAGTCCTATGTACACTTAGACAGAAAAAAGGTCCTACAGTCTCAGTATCCCCAAGCCAGTGGTATATTGAGGGGCAGGCGAGTGGGATTAGAAACAGTGAGCTCAGAAGGAAATCAAACGCAGAAAGTATTTAATGAAGGAAAGGATCCTTCTTTCATGAGGAACTGCACAACCTGGCCCACCTGCAGCTGAATTTCATTAAAACCAAATCTGGCCCCCCAAGCAGTGGTGATTTAACCCATAGACAGCCTTTGCATACAGATACACCATACATTTTTTTAACATTGGCAAGATACTTTATATGCTTAAGCACACTAAAAAAATCAAAATTGGATGCTGATGCTGATGATGCAGCAGCAGCAGCAAAAGAAGATTTGCATGAAATAAAACCTGAGCTAGACAGAATAGGAACTGCTGTCATTCCTGAAACTCGCTGTTTGGGTCTGGATGTGTTATTGGCCAGTCACAGCTACACAAAATATCTGGATTTCCCCATTATTTTCCATGACTGGCAATCACCGTTCCATGAGGTTAAACCCCAGTCCCTTCCTCAGACAAATCTTTATTTAATATTTATCTCTAGGGCCAAATGCTGATCAAGGCTGTGACTTCACCTTCACTGACTCAACACACTAAAAGGGGATACAAAGCTCTTTTCATACACTGCCTGAGCAAAAGAATTGTGCACTTATCACAAAGCAAGTGGAATGTGCCTAAATGTTTTGACTCCTATCTTGGGTTCTACCAGGACTAGAAACTTGCCCTTTTTTAATTGTTACACTTGGAGTCTGGGCTAGTCAGTGGAGCAGTGACTTCTGCCCCACATTAATCCTGTGGTTACTCCAGCTATAGTCATAAAAGCCTTCTGTGATGTCGCAAACAAGGATCCATCCAACCCAGTTTGACAGCAGCAGAATTACCAACATTGCCAAGGAAATCACAATCTGAACACATGATCCTGGAAAGTGCCCAGGCCAAGTCAGAAGCAGAGCTGAACACCTACACCCTAGAGCATTTGGTATTAATTTCTCCATCAAAACACCCATTTCCTCACTGAGCTAACCAAGAGGATGGGTCTGCACCAGGAAAGGCTGCTACTGGGAGAGACCAGCACAGAAACAAGAGGACTGGTATACCAGCCACTTTTGTTTCTACATGGGGTGGTGTTCAGAAACGGTGGCCACCCCCACCAGCTCTTTGGAATTGTGCAAGCAGGCCTGGTCCCCATCCATACCACAGAATGAGGCACAGCAGCATGGGGTGTGCAGCTTCTCCCAACCTGGGGCCATTCAGATGCATTGGACTGCAATGCACGTGGGTGGATGGGGATCATGGGATTTCTAGTCCAACACATCTGGAAGGCTTGGGAATGCTGGGTCTAATCCTTTCTGTTGTGTCTCATTCTGTGGTATGTGTAGCTACTAGGCCTGAGGCCTGGCCTACAGATCCAGCTGAGGCACTCCTTTTCCATTGTTCTTCGGTAGCTTATTTGGACCAGAGGGATGTGGACTTAAAGAGGCAAGCTCCCTGTTTTGGACCCCAAAGACTCAGACCACCACCAGTTCTGGGACAGCTGCAGCCCTGAGGCTTAAGCTTCCCTTCAGGGAGGCAAAGCAGTGCACCAAGAAGTGATTATTTCAACATGGCCCTGTATTCAGGGGGTGGGTTTAAAAAAAAAGAAAATGCCACTCAACCCCCTTGCCACTGCCACCACCTCTGCAGATGCCCAGATCGCATCAGAGCCAGCTCAAAAGGGGCTCAAGGTGGGCTAAGGGCAAAAGAGACCCTCACCACCACTGCCTCCCCCCCCCCCTTTCCATGACTCTTATTTTCTTGGTTACAACAGAGAAGACTCAGGGCAGGGTATCCATCTGAGAGTCACACGACTGGAAAATACTCGTCAACAATTCTCATTGGGTCCATAACTACAGGAATGGACACTTCTTCAAACACAGGATGCCTTCAGACAGACGACTATCCCCTGCCCGTTCGCAGAACAGAGGGCTTCCTGTAGATATCTGGCCATTCTAATTCACAAAACAAAGCCAAGCCCTTTCCCTGGAAAGCCTTCTCAAAACACTTACCTAGGCGACTTCAGGATAGCGAACCTGAAGGTTTGGCAGTGACCCAGGGAGCCTCATACGGAAGGCCACTTTGAGGAAGAGATGGACTGTGCGCAGAGGAATACAAGTTCCAGCCTGCCAACACGCCTCTGTCTAAACAGAGGTGGTTCAAAGCTGTGTGTTTGAATAGGTGCAGCAGCCTGAGATCCTGACAAGTTGCCAGACAACTGGAGTGGCACTAAAGGGGCCTTCTGTGCTTCCCTATCCCCTCTGCTCACCACCACAGTGTCAAAATAAATTTGGAGTGGGCTGGGGTGGAGTAGGGTGGCGCTAGAAAACAAGAGGCAGGAAAGGGCCTCCTTCTGTCCTTCCTTCCCTCCCTCCCTCCCTCCCGTCCCTTTCCTTATCCATCAACTTCAAGCACTTTCCAGGGACAATTTCTTAAAAGCAGAACAATCTCATTATGTGCTACCCAACAAGAACAGACATCCCTTTCTTCCCTTATATACCAAAAAAGGTCAAGAAGGATATGGCCGGACACATACCTTGGCTTCATCATTAATGTCCCAAGTGAAGGAGATGGCATTGAAGGCTATCTCCTCAATGTTACTAATGGTGTTGAAGCTTTCCTTGTAGTCGGCTGTTGGAGACAGGAAGCAAAGGAGGAAACACACACATAATGACATGTTAATCTATTGGCCACATATATAGAACAGACCTATGTCAATGCACCTTTGTTTGACTCTCTGCTTCCCTAGAGTTCCCTCTTCTGCACTGCCTTGTTTAAACAAACAAATAAAATAATGGCCCATGGGCAACTCCTCGAATGAGGGATTTTTAAAAATAAATAAATATCAGGAAATTAAACAAAAAGTTTTAAAGGAAAGAAGAGGGAGAGGAGACGCCTGCTACCTTTGCCATGCCTGGTGATTTTGTTCGAGAAACGTCACCCAACATAAGGAGGATATTACATACTTTTCGTTTAAATCTCCTTCGATAATAAAGGGTGTTTTGCATGTGCGTCTGCCTGTGAGTGCCAAGTGATTAATCCCTGCTTTTATTCAGAGAAGGAAAGGGGTGGGACCGCAACCCAGGCTTCCAGCCCAAGGAACCTGGAAGCTGGCCAGTCACAGCTTGGCTGTAGGCAAGCAGGTATCTTCCCTGTCATCTTTCACCTCCCTGCCTCAACTGTTCCTGGGGCTTGCCTTGCGCCAGAGACTCACCTCGGTCCGGGAACCTGTTTTGCCACACCAGAGCTCACCTTCAAGCACCTGAGCAAGGAGGAGGCACAGCTTTGCTCATGCGTGGAGTACCTCCCCCTCCACATGGAGTAACCGCAACTAATCCATACATGGTTAGGATTAAGAGCTAAGAGGCTCCAGAGCAGAAGGCATGAATGGCAAGCCAGCTCGGGGCCCAAACGCCTCTCCCTTCAGGAAAGAAGAACTGACGCTGCCTCCTTGGGAGGGTGGCAGCAGAAGCGGGGGGATATAATGAGCCTTTGGGAATCATTGTGGTCTCTGGAAAAGGGGATGAAAGCTCCAAGGGAGTGACTTATCTAAACGTCTGCATCGTAAGTTAAAAATGGAAGTGGTCAAAGGACATTGTAGTATCATCAAAGGCAGCTGAAATCTAAGAGACCAGTATCCAACCTCTGTCTGAGTATTCCAACATGAAACTGAACCGCATCCCTAAAACTGCAGGCACGTAGGAATCAGACCACTGGTCCATCTTGCCCAGGGACGGGCAACTTGTGAGTCTCCATATGTTTTGGCCTACAACTCCCATCAGCCCTAGCCAGCAGAGCCAATGGGTAGGGATAGTGGGAGTTGTGGTCCTGTAGATATTTTGTTCAGAAAGATGTCCACCCCGACCTAGTCCAGGACTGGCGGTGGCTTTCCAGGGGTTCAGGCAGGAGCTTCTCCAAACCCTACCTGGAGATGCTGAGGACTGAACCTGGGCCACAGCACCTCCTTGCCCTCTTGGACTAAGCTGCCTCTAACACTCATTGCAAGTTGGTCTTTCTGCTACTCAGTTGTGGAGCCAGAGATACTAATTTGGGATCTTAATATCTTCCCAAATCCCTCACTTGTTTGTTTTGATCTATAGTCCTCTCTGTGCCAAAAGCTGAGATGACCAGGAATATTTCTCCCCTCACCCAGAAGTGAAGCCATGTGAGAAACGTGAGTCTGGAGACGGCCCTGGGCTGACAGAGCATGTGCGGTAAAACCAAAGGCAAAAGGGAGGAGAGGGCTGAGACCTGCCAAGGGGAAGGTTGGCACCTGCACCTGGGGAGCTGCTTACCTATGTCAATGCACCTTTGTTTGGCGGTGTGCTGCCTGGAGTGCCAGTACTTCCAGTGCCTGAGTTGATCCTCTCTGGTTTTGTCTTCAGCAAACACAACCATGATGACACTCTTTAAAGGGGAGGGGGAGAGACAGAACAGCTTAACAGACAGAAAGGCCGGCGGGTTTTTGGCACAAGCCCCTTGCAGTGGGGAGGGGGGCTGCTTGAGCCTTGTGGCTTAACCTGAGCAATGCCAGCAGGCCAGACTTTTGTTGTGCTGAAGTGGGAACACTACCTGGGCTGACGCAAAACTGCCGCCTTAGAAGTTTGCACACCTCCATAGCGACGTGCAGCTGGCAGGCTGGGCAGGCTCACACAATCCAGAGAAACACCCCCCCACACACACACACACACACACCCGCCCCGATCTGCTGGCATCTGGACCGAAACCTAAAACAACTTTTGAGAGACTGGAGGTGGGCAGTGGGAGGGAGGAAAGATCCGGGGCCCGACACAAGCACACCACATGCTCCATGCCAAGGGGATTTGTTTCCTGGAGGCAGAACTCCCTCCCTGGTGCCCTCCAGATGTTTTGGCCCATAACCCCCTTATCTCTGACCATTGGTCATGCTGGCTGGTGCTGGCGGAGCTGCAGTCCAAAACAACTGAAGGGCAATCTGCTTGGGGCCTGCTGGCCTAACTAACAGACTGGGTACCCCAAACCACCTGCTCCCTGCAAAAAGCAAGCAAAAGCAAAGATGGTAGTAATAATATAAGAAATGCACAATCTGCTGTCTTTTACTGGTACTCCAGGATCTGCCACTTCAGACAGGTGTCCTCATTAGCTAATGGTAGGAGTACTCATGCCCTGTTCTGGGACTGTGTAGCATCTAGTTCTTCTGCAGCAGTGCAGAAATACGCTCACCCTCTTGTGCAGGGAGTTACCAGCACCACAGAAGTACTGGTAAGTATTATGCTAATGCTGTCAACCACAAATATATTTTGGTTGGTAGTGTTCACTATTTAAAAATGAAGCAAACCCAAGATAGCAGGAATGCAATCTTGTTCACGATACCACACATCTCTCTCTCTCTCTCTCTCTCTTTCTCTATGTGCGCGCATGCGTTCATGACCAAAACATGAGCAAAGAGTGCAGAAAAATTACTTCACAGCTTGGGCTGCCTAACAGAGCTACTGTGAAGATCATGAGAAGAGAACTGCTAATATCCTGTACACTGAATTTTTTTTAGTAATTTATATTCATAGTACATCACCCCAGCCAGCAGTTTTTCATCAACTTAAGTTTCTGATTTTTTCAAACAAAACATTATGTAAACATGTTTTGTCTAAATCAAGAAACGCATGAGCATATTCTAGCCATCATTCTGCCAATGAAGATTAAAAATCTAAATTAACTCAGTGTGTAAATCATTAAAACTCTGACAATAATTAGCCCTATTCTGAATTGGGATGAGTAACAGGAGGCCCTCTAGATTTGGCCTACAACTTCCATCATCCTTCACCATTGGGTAGGAGTGATGAGAAGACTAGGTCAAAACATCTGGAAGCCACCAGCTGCTCACCCCTTTTTAAAACAAACATCATGGGGTGAGTTGACACGCTGTCCTCTGGCTTAGGTTTTCTCCTTAGAAACAGCACAGGGATCCCCACTGTTTACAGGTGTGCTTTCAAATGATAAAGAATGTGTGCATACTTCGGACCTTCTAAATTAAGGCATAACTAGTGTGTCTCCTATGGAAACACAGAAAGCGAGTTGCTGGATTATACCAAGGTCAAACTGGCCCATTGTGATTTTGAGAAGGATCAAGCAAGTAGCAAACTCAGGGAAGTCCATAGGAAATTTACTAGCATTGTACCAAGAAACTCTCTCCCTCCTGCTTACCCAAAATACTACATAACCTCTCTGTCAACAGTTTCTCTTCTCGCATAGCTTTTGAAGTAGCAACTCACTCGAACTCTACTGATGGGCTGATGGATTCCTTCGCCACCACTAATTTCCTTCAACGTAATGGGATAAAACTGGCCCTTGTTTAGATAAGTCATTGTATTATCGCCCGGCTTCTGTCGGAGTGATTTGGAAGCTTCCAGAGTGTATTCAAAGTTGTTCCTGAAAAGTCAGAAGGAGAGATCAATCAGGCAATTAGCTCTGGAAAGAAAGTAACAACCAATAGGTTAGATACAGAAGATAGAGAACCGATCATGGGACTGGCTACTTGCCATCGCTCCCTACTGCTTCGCCTGTCCTTTCTGGGTAATTTTTTAAAGGCTGCCATTCAAAATCATAGAATCAGTAAGCAACTTCTTATGGGCACTCCACAACTTACGCTTTTCCTTCGTGGGAAACATCTCTGACCCTGAAGTAGGCAAAAGGTTGCAATCTGCATGTAGATCACTACAGAGGAGGACTTATCCATCCATTCATCAGTCACATTCATACCATGCCTCCCTCCAAGAGCTCAGGGTGGTGTACTTGCACTATCCTGTCTTATCATTAATCACGACACACCCAGATGGGAAGAACAGAAGAGTCATGCTGGAGCAAACCGGTATCTAGTCCAGTCTTCTTTTCCCACAGGGGCCAACCAGGCGCTTCCCTGGGAGGCACCGAAGCAGGACAGGAGTGGGGTGGGCACCCCCTTCTCATGTTCTCCAGCAACTGGCATTTAGAGGCTGCAGCCTCAAGCGCTGACGGCAATATCAGTCAGATACTGGAGGGTTCAGATTTGCAGCAAACAGATATTACAGCTCCATTTGTAAGGATGGCATTCTCTTGGGTTTTATGTTTGTGTGAATGTTGCACATCAGCATTTTAGCAAGTGCATGCATTTAATTGTGTTTTACTTTACTTTGTAAAGATCTCAAAGATATTTTTAATGTGTTCAGTGGTATATAAGTATGTTATATGCTTGTTATCATCATCTAGCCATCATGACTAGAACTCACTGAAAACTGTATCTTCCATGAGTTTGTCCTGATTGCCTCTTAAAACCAAGACTGGCAGCCAGCACTGCGTTGTGTGCCGATGAATCCCACAATTTAACAGTAAGCTGTGTGAGGAAACAGGACAGGCCGAGACAGTGACTTGCTTGAATTCACCCCAGAAAGCTTCATCACTAGGCGGGAATTTGGATTCAGGTCTGCTGGTCCAAGTCTCCCTCTCCCTCTCACAAACACACACACACCTGCACTACATGTTCAAGCCCTGGAATGTGTTACCTAGCAATCCACACTAGGCTTTCCTGATGCACTGGACTATAGCTCCCATCCTCCCCACCCAAAGCTGGCTGTAATAATGAGCGCTGCATCCCAGGACATCAGAAGGGTTCCAGGTCAGAGAAGGCTGATACATGGACAGATTCATAGAATCATGGAATAAGAGGGTTGGAAGGGGCCGGAAGGCCATTGGGTCCAACCCTCTGCCATTGCAAGACACCAGATTGCTTCCAAAGTGGTCCTCCTCCTCCTCATCATACTGAACCCTTGTCCGACTCTTTCAGCCATACAGATTGATTCCCATGCAGTATCTAGTTCTAATCTACACAGCAACCCTGTAAGGTAAGGCAGCATTATTATCTTCAACATTATAGGCGAGGAGGCTGAAAGAGCAGGGGTGGGGGGTGACCCCTAGAAGACAGGATTCAAACCAGGGGCTTCCTGATTCACAGCTCAGTCTCTTAGCCACGACAGTATACTGGCTCAGAAAAAGGCTGAGTATCTTTCTGCTGCGCCCTCTGCTTCTTCTGGCAAGTCCACACCACAGGTACCCACACCTGTCCTAAAGTCTTGGCTATTCGATTTTAAATGTCAGACTGGGGAGAAAAAGCACTTCCTTTTACCAAGTGACTCCCTGGCATACATGCTGCTACTTTAGCACTTAAAATCAGAGTGCAGAAAGCTGCCTTCCCCAGGCTCGCAACATTTATTATTATTATTATTATTATTATTTAGCAAGGGACTGGAACTGAGGCAAGGCAGAACAGCAGTGGCACCGCCTGCTGACTCACTCGCAGGTGATCTGGGTCATGGTCAGAGGGCTCTTCGGAAGTCTGAGTGAAAGCAGCTTTGAAGAGGCCTCCTTCCATTTTGCCCTCAGCTGCTCATTCCGATTTGCCTTCCTGGGCATGAGCAGCCCAGCTGGAGAAGGAGAGGCTTAACATCTCTCTGCTGCTTTGGCAAAGCGGGTCAGCAATCCTTTTTGCTACATCTCTGCTTGGAAGCAAGCAGCCTCACATGGTGCAGAGAAAGATCTATGTAAGAGGCCCAGGTCTTCAGTTGTCTAAGCAGAGCCTTCCCCAACTTGCCTCCTTCCAGAGGGAATCAACAAACAACACATTCAAAGGGTGCAACATTGGAGAAGATTGCCTTAAAGTCAGTTCAGAATAAAGATATGACTCCTTAAAGGCAACAGGGAACAGTTGCTGGCTCATTCTCTCTTTCTCTTTGTATGTGGAAATGAATTCAGCAGCAGGAACACCACTAGAAACTCCAGGGAAAAAGGCCCATAAACTTACACGGAGCCATTCTGTGTGTGCCTGTTCTAAAGTAAGGCCCACCAAATTCTATGGTATTACTCTCAGGTAAATGTGCACAAGATTATAGCTGGAGCCATCAAATACAACAGAAGCTTAGCAAGTTCTGATGCTCAACAGGATGTTTCCACAATAACATCGTCATGCATGGCCAAATGTCACCCAGGGCTCCCATCTTTCACTGAAAATTGTTGTGGTGCAGTGACTAGCCCAGGGGTCGGCAGCCTTTAACACTCAAAGAGCCATTTGGACCCGTTTCCCACACAGAAGAAAACACTGGGAGCCGCAAAACCCTTTTGACATCTGAAATGAAGATAACACTGCATATATCATTTTTTACTTTAATGCTGTGTATATCTTCATTATGATTTAGCTACAGCTTTTGTTCAGTCACTAAAAACTGTTATTTTTAATCTTACATTATATACTAGTAGGACTCCTTTCATATATTTTGAATAGGAGAACAGCTTCCTGAAGTCAAAGTCAGTGCTAAAGGGCTGCATGCATTAAACAGCAAACCCCATAAGTTCGTCAGCAGTAAAAGCAAATGAATCTACCCACTTATCATTAAACATTTGGTTTTCTTCAGAAACTTTTCTTCAATTTATCCATGGTTGGCCTAGAGGGGGGTAAAGGTAAAGGTTTCCCCTTGACATTAAGTCCAGTCATGCCTGACTCTAGGGGGCGGTGCTCATCTCCGTTTCCTAGCCGAGGGAGCCAGCGTTTGTCCGCAGACAGTCTCCGTGGTCACGTGGCCGGCATGACTAAACACCGAAGTGCACAGAACACTGTTACCTGCCCTCCAAAGTGGTACCTTTTTATCTACTTGCATCTGCATGCTTTCAAACTGCAAGGTTGGCAGGAGCTGGGATGGAGCAACGGGAACTCACTCCGTTGTGCAGATTCGAACCAGCGACCTTTTGATCAACCAGCCCAGCAGCACAGCGGTTTAAACCACTGCGTCACCTGCAGAGGTGTGTGTGGGGGGGTGGAACTCAGTAAATCAGCGGGTCGCGACATGAGATATAGGTGTGTTTAGTGACTGATTACAGATAAACAGTCAAGTGCTGTGAATTGTGACAGGTCCCAAGCACAGCTTTTAACATTCAGAGGAAGATTACATTGAGACAAAGAGAATCTTTTCAGCAGTTTCATGTAACATGAGAGCCTGCAGGAAGCTCGTTTAGCAGAGGAATGTAGCGATTTACTTAACTAGCTGATTTACTTAATTAGCTAGCACTGTGTTCCTGAGCGGAGCTTTGAGCAGATCAGCGGCTGTGCCAGCGCATGTTTTGAGCGACGGAGCCACAGCAGAGGGGTTCAAGAGCCACATGTGGCTCCGGAGCCGCAGGTTGCCGACCCCTGGACTAGAGTGATGGACTTGGACAATCTGGATTCTGGTCCTCTCTTGTGGGACACCAAAGTTCACCGGATGACTTTGGGCCAGTCACTGATTCTCAACTTAACCTACTTCATAGGATTGTTGTGAGGATAAAATGGAGTGGAGGAGAACCGCATGAGCTGCTTTTTGTTCCTTGCAAGAGGGTAAAAGGCAGGATATAAATGTAATAGCAAAAGTACAATAAATGCATTTCATAAAAAGAACATAGGCAGAAGATCAGACCAAAGCCAAGATGTGCCAAGTCAAGCCCTCCTGTGCACCAGAAGTAGCTCTTTTCACAATAATCAATTTTGAGAGATTACCCAGCAATGCCTTCAAACACATAATCTTCGGAACTCATGCCTGCCATTCGGAGGTTCAGTTCAGGAGGGAAGAAAACCTGGAAATATTAATAAATGTTGTTTCAGATGGCAGATTAAGGAGGCTTAGATCCTAAATTTATCATTAAAAACAGAGTGCAACAACTTACTGCATGTGCACACCAAAAGAAGCTGATATACGTTGAACGGGGAGAGAACTAGCTAATCTATATGGCCAAGTCTCCAGAGCATTCCAGCATCAGATGTCAAACAACCTAAAGCAAAGATGTTGAACCTGTTTCAGCCTGAGGGTCAAATTCCATTTTGGATAAATTCTCGGGGGTTCCACTCCAGTGGTGAATGAAGACAAAAGCAAAATGGATGGGACCAAAATGCAAAGTATCAGCGTATTTTAGCTGAAGGCTCTTCCTGCCAGCACCTAAACCTTGGAAGAGGCTTTCGCAATACGGGAAGATGCACAGAAGCTGGGAAACCACCAATTACTCACTGGTTGTGGGGAAAGAAGGTGTGGCCACCTGGGGTTTGGACCTCAGGTAGTACTGGATTTGGCCCTGCACCTGAGGCCTCAAGTCTAATTAATAGGCAACATTTTAGCCAGGACTGTCTTGTTTCAAATCCTATTCCTCTCAGATTTTACGGTAAAGGTAAAGACAACTAAATAATCTGCCAAGGCTCCAGGTTCACAATAAGGCAAGCAAACTACAAAACATATGCAAACTGGGACAACTTCACTTGCATAGTTTATTCCAAAGACAACCTGTGCTTCTTTAGAATGTCATTTGGATGTCTTTCAGGAATTGTAGAGGAGGAGGAAAACAAGAAGAAAAAAACTAGCATAGCTCCTCCACTACATCTATTTTTACTGGATACTCAGAGATACAGAAGTCTTTCAACCTAAGTCTGGCCAGTCCTTTCTGTGATGCACCACTATTGGAAGTGGACTTTTACACACACGTGCGTGCTCACACACAGATGGTGTATGCCTTTTGGCTTTCCAATTTTATTAACACACATTTGAGCAAAAGAAGTAATCTCCCAGTAAAGTGAGCCCTGCACTTTTGTTCCTGATTTCAAATTGTACGGTAGTTGCTTTTGTTTTAGATATAGTACCTTATATGCATAGGCTATTCTGAGAAAATATTCTATTTCTAATCCACTTGGATTGAGATGTCAGGTTTACATAAGAGTTAAAGAGGAACCTGATATCTATGCACACAGATTAGGGAGTGGTAATGATGGGGAAGGGCACTAGAAGTTGCGTTTAGCAAGTCTTCCAGCTTCTGAGGTTCACCCACACAGTGACGCAGACCATGCCAGAAATCCAGTATGCAGAATCCTTAGGTCAATTCTGCAAAAGTATTTTTCCAACCCTTTACAGTGCCCTTCCATGTGCATTTATTTAGAAATCATCCCAATTGAGTTCAAGGGGATTTAACCCCAGATGGGTGTGAACAGGATGGCAAGTATACGGATTGACTTTCAAGGTGCTCTGGAAGGCAAATTCTGTGGCCAGCACCATGTTCTGGGGCTCTGCTGTGCTCTCCCAGCAAACTGCCCTGCCACCTAGCACCAGCTGTGTGTCAAGCACATTACGGTCTTCGGATGCAAATGGCAGGGCTGCTCCAGTACCTCTTGAACGCCTTCTTTAAAAGACTCCGAGAAGGTGGAATCTGGAGTACGCCGCTGGGAATTTTGAGGCTGGGCACTAGAGCTGTACTGGTCATCACTGAGATTCCTGTCCAAAACCACCACCGGGTCGGAGGTCTCTGGGTGGTAGATGGCCGGGGGGAGGCCCACGGTGAAACTGTGAGACTGAGTTTCTGTCTTGATTGAGTGCGCAGGCATGGAGGCGATGGAGACAGTGACAGTCGTGTCAGGCGTTGTCAGGTGGCCCCTCTTGTCGACACCCATTTGGGAGGAGTGCGGGAGAACAATATTCAGAGGCATGTTCTTCAAGACTTGTACCCGGTTCTCCCCAGTAGAAATGAGTGGCTGTTCTACCATGCTGGGAATGCTGTTCCTAAACAAACAAAAAGCTTGATTAGGAGGCAGATTAAGAGCTGCAGGCATCCATTTCCAAAACAGAAAGCACTGGCGATTAAGCCTGCCTGAGGCTGCCACCTACCCCAGAGGGATTATCCGAGCGCCTTGCCTTCTGCGTACAAGGAACATGCTCTGACTGCGCACAGGTGAAAGAAAAACCATTCACATGGGAGAGCTTTAGAAGCACTCTTTCACCTTCAGTGCTATGCTGCAAGCACGGGCAGTTAGGCCAGTGCCCATCAGATGTGCTGAACTCCAACATCCATTCTCACTAGCCCTGGAAAGCTTGTAAATATTCAGAGTTATTTATTCCTTGGTCAGCTTATGTGTCACCACTACCAAACACTGCTTTCACTGCAGAAGAGGGCTAAATTTGAAGGCAATCTAATGGTTGGCAGTCCGTTTCACATTCCTCTCCTTCCCCACTAAAATATTCTTTATGTGCCCAGGGCGGCTCTGGGAATTTGAAAACATGGTTGTATCCAATGTTGGATGAACTTAAACAATTTTCAAGGGTCTGCTCTAAGTAGGACTAACATTAGATACAAACCTAACCACATCCCTCCTCTTCTGCAGTTAAGATAGCTTGACTAACAAAGTTTCTGGCTGCTTCTAGTTTTTGAGTCTTCCTTGGCTTAACTACATGCTACATTAAATGCATATCATGCAGGTGATCCCAATTCTCTTCCCCTCCCCTCCCCTCCCTCCAGTTAAGCATGCAGGGACCTGATCCAAATCAGGATCAGAACATGTAGGTAGGGGAGGCTGAAACCTTCCCATTAAGCCAGTTTCCCCCCATTAAATTTATGCTCCTCCACCTACTTTGTGCAGGGGCTAAACAGAGGGGGAAAACGTCCACTGGTGCCAGTGGAGGCTTTTTGTCCCTGCTTTCAATTTCCACATGGGACAGAAGGATGAATTTAGGGAGAGGGAAGTGGCTGGGTACAAAGGTTTGAGCTTCTCCTACCCACACATGCTTGTCCATACCCAGAACAGGGGCCAGAGACTTCTGGGGGGGGGGGGGAGGGGAGGGAGCTAGGATCATCCACACACACTGCATCCACACTGTAACATGTCGCCAAGTTCTTGGGGTCCCCCCTCCCCTGGGGTTGCTCAGGCCTGCCTTCATTTGCTCAGCCCTCTCTGCCTATTTTGATATGCCTCCCATTAGGCTAAGAGCAAGACTGAATCTGTGCTGGCCAAGCTTCATGCACATCATCATATCTGTGGAGACTCCAACTTAAAGTCACTTGGGGGAGACACGCCGACAAGCTGAAACTCAGTTCCTCCAGTAATTTTAAAAATATGTTCTCCTTTCATGGGAAGACATTGAGCACAGAATGGACTTTTTAAAATAAAGGCTGGATGCTGAACCTTTTGCCATGATCTTGATCAGGATGGTCTACATCTGGTTTCACTGCTGATGTTCTCCTTTCCCGAGGAACCTGAAGTAGGTAACACAAAAGAGAAAAAGAATCAGCCAGAATGGATTAACAAGTATTACCAAAGCAGCCATAGAGAAAGACACATATCCATGACCTAACACTGAAAGGCAGAGGCATTTGGCTTCAGCCTGCCTCCAGAGAACAGCTAGTCTTGCCATCAGCCTTGACCCAAGCCCAACAATGAGTCACAGAAATGCTTCTTGCTCTGCTGTAGAAACTCCAGCCCGGCAGCATGACACCATTAGCGTAAGGACCAGGCCCTCTCAGCAAGCCGGCTCAGGTGGGGAGATGCCCCAGTTTTCAGCCCCAGTGGGCTGAGAGGATTTCAACCTGGTGTTTTAGTGGAGCGGGACCTGCAGGGTCAAAGCATCAGGACTTTTTCATTGGCAGAGCCCCACTGAGACGTCCCCATTCCCCTGACCTTGGCTGCCTATGGCAGAAATGAGTTTTCCCAGTGAGCTCTCCCTGCTGTGGAATAAAGCCTTTTGTGGGTGGCTCAGGCCTGAATGAACAGCTAAGACTCCCCAGTTTTTCAGAAGGGTGCTTGGAATGGAAATGAAAACTGCTCAAACAGGTTTATTGACTCCGAGATAAAAAGTTTCTCCCTGACACTGGGAAAAGGCACTCTTGAAAAATCTTGTGCTGGTGGCCTTCTCCTCTTTGGTGACATATTCTGTCCCTCCTCTTCTCCTTCTCATACCACCTCGGGCCCCTGCAGTTTATGCCCACCTGCCCACCATTACTCTGCTCTTTGTCAGCTTGCTATTCCATGGCTGCTAAATCATCCCAATCACGCCTTCATTTATTTGCTTATTTGTTATAGTTATATCCCACCTTTTTAAAGAACCCAAAGCAGTTGCATCGTTCCTTCTGCTCTCAATTTTATCCCCACAACAACCACCCTGAGAGGTAGGCTGGGCAGAGAGGCTGTCACCCAGCTGGCTCCATGGCTGAGTGGGGACCAGATCCCAGATTGCCTGAGTCCCAGTCCCGCGCTCTTCCCCACTGCACCACTTCACTGCTGCTCTTTGGTGTGTCCACACATCAGGAGAGATGGCTCAACAATGCAGCAGGCAGGATGTATGAGCTGTGATCATAACTTTGACAGGCCTAGTGTTGACAATTTGCTCTTTAACTACTAGGATTTCACATTCCCATTAGGTGGAATTAGCTTGAGATCCCTCAGTGCTGAAATCTGCTGCACCAGCAACACTTTGGATAATATAGTAAATGGATAGTATAAACACCCTTTTTAGCAAGCAGTCATTACTTAGAGACTGATTACTACTTCTCTTTGGAAAGCAGGAATGCTTTCAGTACAAACTTAGCACATCAGGGGACAGGAGAGGGAGGGAGAAGGAATGAATGTGTGAGTGTATATATGAGAGTTTTAAATACTGCACTGAGTGGCTCATGGGGTAACAGAAGAACCCAGAACCCAAAACTGTAAGCATTGCTGGTTTGCTTGGGAGTCAACCATGAGAAACCTAGAAGAGCTGTAACTTTCAGAGCATAGATCTTTCCATGTTGGTCTGCACATTTCAGGAGCACCAGAACCAAGCTGAATGTGCTGAAGTACATTAAGACGGAATTAACTGTTAAAACAGAAATGAAATGTTCCCAAATCAGTGGTGAATTTGTAATGCTAATGGGGAAGGGACAACATTTTGAATTGGCACTTGAGGAAAGGGTTAAGCATTGTCTCCTGCATTGGCAGGAGGATCTGAAGCCCACATTGTCTTAGGATAGCTTTATCTTTATGTTTGTTTTTCACCCCCCCCCCCCCCCCCCCGCTTGTGGACAAACACACCCATTCCAGCAGATAATAGCTCAGCATCAGCATTTCCATTTAGGCTTGCCTCTGGAAACTTCTGAGGACGACTGCCACTTGCCTCCGTGGTGAAGGGTTACAAGCCTCAGCTTCTCTTGTGCTGCACTGCTGTTCTTTCCAAGCCTTTCATAAGGCTTTCCATATTATTATTTTACAAGGTAGGAACCAAAAGAAATCCCCATCCGTGGTCAGGCCTGTAGCCCATGAAGTCCTGTGGGCTTCAGTTTAGACCAGTTTCGGGTGTTATGAAAACGTGGGACAGCTGTAGCAAAATACTCAAGATTTAGGGTGACATGAGGCTGCACTGCCCTGGAGTTCTGCATGAGATGCCTTTGCTATAACTCTCTTCCTTGGATTTGGATGAGGGGCCAAGTTCAACCTCACCACCATTCAGAACTGGGAAGCAGCTACATCATGGGAAGGACAGGACAGTGTTATCTGCTTAAGTCAGCAGTGCTGCTCTGCAGATGTGTTGCGTTACAATTCCTAGACCGCTGGCTGCAGGTGTGGTCTAACAGGTTGGGGCAAGCTGGCTTAGAGTTACCTACCCCAACACAGTGCCCTCCAGATGTTTTGGACTCTCTCTCTCTCTCCGACTCCAGACAGGATGGCCAATGGCCAGAGATGGTGTGAGCTGCAGTCCAGAACATCTGCAGGGCATCCAGGACAAGGAAGGCAGCTTTGGAGTCACAGCCATTCCATGAAATTGGTGTGACTCTCACAAAAGAGCAGGCACACTACATGTTGCAGTTGTATGACTGTATGAAGCAGCCAGCCCCAGCCTGGCCCCCTGCAGGTGCTTTGGACTTCAGCTCTGATCAGACACAGTCAGGATGGGCAGCGGTCAGGAATTCTGGAAGCTGAGAGTCCAAAACATCTGGCTGGCATAAGGCTGTACAGACTGGTATGAAGCATTAGCCAGTTCACAGCTTGTGGAGCAAGGCCAGGCCATGAAGACGAGGAAGAGCCAGATGAATGTGGGAGCCTTTTCCCTACCCTACACAAGACTGTCCTTGACTGCCTGTCCTGCCCCTTCCTCCATTTCTTCACTGGCAATCCGCTGAGCCATTCTTATTCTGGAAAGCATTCAGCCACTGACTGCTGCAATTCCACATATCATCAGTGCAGCGTATTGGAAATGTCAAGGTGGTCTTCCATTTAATCCCATTAAAGAAACCCCAGAATGAAGAAACCACCCAGAGCCACCTCGGCGTGCTGAACTATAATGAAGTTTAAGGGATTCGGGGATCATCTCTCAGGAGATCCAGTGCAGTTTGGGCATCATCACATTGGAAAGCGAGAGGAGACATGCCAGCTCCAACGAGGAGCCTATCGAGTCCAGCTTCCCATTCCCATGGCAGCCAACCAGGTGTCTCAAGGAAGCTCGACTGCCTCTTCTTCTGGCTGCCGGAGACAACTGCTTTCTCCCACTATTGCTGCTTCTCACCAAATGGTATGAAAAGATAATGCCAGCTCTGAAATCAAGGGGATGCACCCAGTCCTCAGTACACTTTTCCTCCAGGGAAACCTGGGTGCTCATTGGACTCTGGGGACCTGAGTTTGAATTTCCCACTAAGCCATGAAGCTCACTCAGACCAGTGACTGACTTTCAGCCTAGCCTACCTTGTGGAGTTATCGGAAGGCTAAAATGGAGAGGAAGAGGGCCATATAAGCTGCTCTGGGTTCGTTGCAAGACAGAAGAATGAGAGATATAAACATAATAATGCATATGAAAATATATGCATTTGTCTTTCCAAAAGCATCTGAACTGGTGGCCATCAACATACTGTTTGGCAATGAATTCTATTTGGTAATTACACTCTCCTTGAAGAAATGTTTTATTATTTCATTTGGCATGTCCTAATTCTCCTGCCAGTCAGGTTCACTGGATGAATCAGAGTTTGTGTACAGAGAGAGGGAGAATGTTCAGTTCACTTCAAGCAATCAGCCTATCCCATATTAGTAGCTATTACCTCAGAGCTTGACGTACTATAGAGACAGACTGGTGCTGTCAGGGGGCATTGACAAGAGGTACTTCCATGCAATCAAATTCTAAACTGTAATTGCTATCTAAAGGTGGCACAATCCATGAACTCGTCGAGTCCATGAGTATGGGGCTCCTCCTCTTTGCTTTCAATCTAGATTTATATGATTTTAATCCTCCCTCCCTCCTTCTCTCTCTCTCTCTCTCTCTCACACACACACACACACACACGAATACACTCACACACTTTCTGTATAATTTTCATTTCATAAAAGCAGCATCCATCAACAAAGCACATCAGCAGCAGGTAAAAATACACAACGCCTCAATGTATTGAGACATTCCGGAACAGATTGTTTAGTTGTATCTTTAAAAAATAATTTTAAAATCTTATTTGATACAATTTTGTTTTAACAGTGATCCACCCCAGTACAAGTTCTCAGCATGCTATTTGCAGCAACTGTAAAAGCAACTTTTCTCTACAAAGCGGCAGCAATTTGGTTTGTCTTTTGCCATCAGGAAAGCCCTGGGAACCAAAGCACATTTGGTTCCTTTAGAAGCACTACCTTGTAGTAGTCATACAGGAGACCCAAGGCGGCGGCACTGTCTTCGTCCCCATTTATGCTCATCATGGCTTTGGTTGCTGCTGTAAGAGGGTTTTCCAGAAAGGTTTTCCAGGCTTCATCCTCACTGGTGTAGGGTCTCCTCTGAGAGTAGAGAGCATCATTCTGGAGAACCAAGACTGGCCTTTTGCTTTAAAAGAAGATCAAACAAAACACAATCATAAATGAGATGAAAACCAGCATTAGTTGGCCATCCAAAGATGTCCATGCCTACACTTAAGCACTTCCTGCATGTGTGAAGATTGTGCCAAGTCTCACTGCTAGCTGCTGCCTGTGTGACGTGTAGGAAGATGTTGTGAAGGCTGCTCAGGGATCCAGGAGTGACTTCCCAGAGCACACAGAAGCTAGAGACAAGAGATTTCCCAAAGCTCTGGTCCATGTCCAAAAGGCCATGTGGCACCCTTTGGATTCCACCCATTGTATTTTCAGCATGCATTCTTGTTTCCTTTTAAAAATTAACACTATATTTTATTCTGTTGAACAGGCTCAGTGGCCTGCTCAACTTCCATCAGCCAAGGGGTAAACATACCAATTCAGATTAGATTTTGGTTGGCGTGAATCTATCCTTTGGTCTCCAGTCCTTTCAGCAGTGTGGCCCTTGCTCTCTCTACCAAGACCTTCTATCACCTTGACCAGTCATTGCCTGCTCTACCTTGAATGTACAGGGTTCCAGCAAGCCCAGAGATGATGGACCATAAGCCTCCTGAAGGTTTATGTGCATGCACCTACTAACGTCCCAGTTTTCTTTTTCAAAGGAAGAAACCAAAGCCAAACATTGCAAACTTTGGCAATTGCTTGGCTACCAAATGTTTAGCATTGTAACTAGGGAACATTAAGGGAAGATGGACCCAATTTTAAGTAGGGTTTTCGTGTGTTTCTAGCCATTATATGTCTAGAAACACACGGAATATGTGGAAATATATGTGGAAATTACTTTCATGCTTTTGCTTTAAGGATGTTCAGATTTGCCTCTATTACGATTATCAAGTATCAAGTCAGATGCTTTGTCTCCAGGGGACTGAGAAAGAAATCAAATCTAATGTGGGTTGCAAACATTATATGCAAATATCTTATATGCATATGCACAAGATATATGCATAAAATAATTGCTTTGCCAACAAATTACAACAGCCTTCTCCAACCTGCCGCTCTCCAGATGCGGCTGGAGGATTATGGGAGTTGTAATCCAACAATAACCCAATTATTTTGCCTTCAGCCAAACAAAATATGGTGGGGGAGAATCTAAAGTTTATAAAGGTTACGTGATAAGATTCAGAGAAATTAAACTTTGTAGAGTAATACTTGGGAAGCAAAAGGCAAAAATCTAACGATATATTTCAAAGCTGTAACCTTAATTTTTGAATGCCGGATATCAAAAGCTCCCATGCTGTCTGTCATTCCTGTGGGTCGGTACACAGCAGCCCAAACTACCCTCAGGCATCAAGCTCTCCAGGATTCTGTCTCCAAGTTAACAACCATATAACCTGCCAACTCACTACATGCAGAACACAGCATAAAAAGAAATACCAAAATGAGCAAAATGACTCAGGCGAACCAGAAAGTCAGACCCAGAGTGCAAGCCACTGGTTCAAGAAAATCTTTTCAGTCGAGGTGCCTGCTTGCTTAGCTCCGTCAATGCACCTGTACTGAGGTCTTACAAAAGGAGCGAGCTTGTTCGGTTGTCACACACCCACCACCAGCAGTATCCAAAGGTTTGACTTCAAGCTGGAGTCCAGCCCCAGATGTGGGGCATCTCTGAAAGTGGTTTTCATTGTGTTTCAAGTGATCTGCTTTTTCTTGGGATTTTATTAAGATTATTTTAATTCTGTATTTTATTACCATTAGAAGCTTTAAGAGGCATTTTTGGTGGAAAGGAAAGATATAAATATAAAAGAGAGCGCGAGTCGTTAGAGTGACACTGGCTTCTGACTTTTAGTCTGCATCTGGAGCTGACTTCTAATCGTCATTTGGCCTTGAAGCTCATTGGGCAACTTTGAGACAGTCGCTGACTCTCAGCCTAACCTTCCTTGGAGGGTTGTTGTGAGGATAAATGGAAAGGAGCAGAAATATCATGTAAGCCACCTTGGGTTTCTTGCAGGGAAAAATGTAGGACACAAGTATGATAAATACAAGCATAATCTTTTTAAGCCAAAGGCAATTTTTACAATGCTATTTGCAAGAAGTTGTCTGGCACTGCCCTTCCCCTGCGAATGAAGCAGGAAAACCAGTCAAAGCACCGTTTTCCTTGAGCACACACAAAGGCACGCTGGTACTGAAGACACAAAGTGAGTTTTACTTAAAATATTGCTGAGCAGGGTGGAGCCACACAAACACACGATACCATCAGTTCGTGAAGCAACCCCACACCCACGCCGACACCCACCTGTTTCTCCACTGCCTACAGGGACCTGCCTCATGAAATGGAGAGCAGAAGGACAGTGGGTGCCTCACAGGAGGGAAAGGGGTACAATATAAACAGTGTAATAATACTCATCATTCCTGGTTCGCTTCAAGCCCTTGGAAGAACAAAGCTGATTATAAAAGCTCACGCCGCAGCACTTCGTATTTTGCCACTGAGGAGGAATCCGGGCTTCCCTCTGGAATTCAGGAGTCTCAGGGGCAGAGCTCGAAGCACAAGATTTCGACCCTGTCCACCCCGATGCACAAACACGCAGCCCGAAGGTCTGATGGTATCTTGCGTCTGTGTGGCTGCAAAGGACAGCTAGTACTTCAGCCAACCCGCAGGTCCCAAGCACAAGAAAATCCTGTTGGTCAGCTCCTCTAGGGGGATATAAATGGAAACCAGGCTTGATGCCACATGGAATTCTACAAAGTCCATCCTTGGTCTTTTCTGGCTGCTTGGATGCATCTCCATTGCCAGAGCTCAAGGAAGCTGACTAGGTGGCCGGAGGAAGGCGAGCCAACCACTCATGCACTATGTTCTTAACCTGGGAGCTCTGAGAATCTGATCATGTGGGTCAGGATGCGGTGCTCCCCATGTGCCCCGCGAATGCTGTTGCAATAGCAGGACCCCCCACCAAGAGCAACCCCAGAAACAGGAGGAAACGCTCGTCTCCGGAATGGAACAGGACAGTGGTGCTCCGTTCTGCTGCCTCTCTTCACCTGTTCCATTTCAGAAACAAGCATTTCATTTTGTTTTGTTTCCAGTTGCTTTAGGAACCGCTGGTTCCCTGTTGCACTGGCAGCAGGTCCCACAGGCTCAAGAGTAGCACTGGATGCTGCCTTTTACTTTTATCGAGGTGGGTCATTTATGCATTGTCAAGAAAAAGGAAAGGGTCCACAACGAGGACAGAGATTTGTCTGAGCTCGTATATATGCATATGTGAAAATTTCAAACTGATAGCCATAATCTACCTAGAAATACTGTGCAGCCCACCCTACTGGGGAGGAGGATGGCCAGTCAAGTGTTGTGTCTGCTTCATCTGTTCTCCAGCTGCTCCTCAGTTGATGGATGACGTCAAGGCCTATTCTGACTCTTCCTTCTCATGCTTCTTTAAACAGGACTTGAAATGACTAGCCCTTCAAAACATACACTTGACTTCCAAGGAAATATACACGGTCATTTTACCGTCATGACTGATGATGCCTCCTTGAAGGAAGAGACTTTCCCTGCCTCATTAAACTACATCTCAGGCTGCCATTAGGTGCGTGGAGACATGGGAGGACTGGCATGCTGTGACACTGGACGGGTCAAGCAAACTACAGTCCTAGACTCTAAGGGAACAATCCTAAGCATGTGTGGACAGATAAGTCCTAAACACAAGTATACCATGGCAGCCCAAGTTCATTCCACCTGGGATGATTCAGGTAATCCAGATCAACTTTTCTCAACCTGTTGCTCTCCCAGTGCTTTGAACTTTGATTCCCACCAGTTCTAGCAAGCATGGCCAATGATCAGGAATTCTGGGAGTTGTAGTCCCCAACATCTAGAGCATCAAGTTGGGGAAGACTGGTTTATGGGGCTGCAACTGCCTCGGTTGCCCTGATGGAGAACTTGAGTCAGGAGAAGGAAAGAGGCAGAGCAACTCCACAAAGCTCCTCGAAGGCTTTCAAACTATCAGCCAAGAAACCCTGGCAGAGATAAACGTCAGACGTAGTCCTGGGCATCCTGCTGCTCCATGGCAATTGCTCCTGTGAGGTTCCACAAGACTGAGTTTTCTCTTCCTTGCTATTTAATACCCATTCTTCATAACATGTTCGGCACAGATATCCAGGGATTTGGGGTGGGCGGGCTGGTGCGTATCACCATGCAATATGAATGAAGCTGTTTCTCCCTTGCATCAGATCCAGGTAAAGCAAGAGATTCACAGGTGCTTGGAATCAGGGATGGACAAGGTGAGGCAAAGTAAGGTGAGGCTCAGTCTATGGAAGGGGAGAGGTGGATGGCATGGGGGTTAACCAGCAAGGAAGCAGGGGGGTTGTCTGCCAGGTGCACAGCCTGGCAGACACTTTAGCACCTGCTAACACTTGTGGATATCTAGGCTGTGCCTTTTTCCAGCTTAAACTAATTCTTCTCTTTTGCAGTCTCCCAGAAAAGAAGGTTTCTGCCCCTGCCAAATATAGGTAACTTCTAGATTAGACTGTAGGGCATTCTGTGTGGAGCTGACCTTGAAGACAATTTGGAAGTTTCACTTAGGTCAAAACATGGATGAATAATTGAAGTTGTTGCCAGGCACAAAGGACCATGCTTCGCCAGCACTGAAATAACTATGCTGTGTGTCATTTTTATTTCCAGGTTAACTTCAAAATTAGGTTGTTCACCTTTCAAAACCTATATGGTTTGGGGCCAGGATACCTTGGACCAGATACCTCCTGTCAACCTCATTGGAGCTTTTATGATTTACAACACAATTCACTTTAAAATGTCATAACTGTGGTTTAGAAATGTAGCCAACTGACTGAAATAACAATAGCAATCCAACAGAGACCTGCTTCAAGCACATATCTTCACATTAGACTGGCACCTGCAAGGAACAAGGCCTATTCTGTGGTGGGACGAGAAAGAATAAAGTATTATAACATTAGTATGTATTACACAGAGGATTTGCCACATGAGGCACTTCTGTGAGGTAAAATGTGCACCTCCCTTCACTTTGCAGCTGCCACTCACATCTGCTTCCCTTTCCAATCCTACCTGAATCACAAGGTGGCAAAACCCAGTATGGACACTAAAGCAGTTGGCCAAGAAACGTGGAAAAGTTGACATTGTGCTCTGCAGATCCAAAACAGAGAGACCTGTTTTTGCCAGACCTTAATTTACAGTCGATGAGCGTTGCCAGACCACAATTTGCAGATGAGGAGCGTTCTGAGTTGCAAAACACAGAGGGGACCCAGCTGCTGTGCCTCCAACCCCATTCCTGCCAGGCCCCCCCCGCCCCCCCCCCACTGGCTATGTGGTAAAACCCAAGTCCTGCTGGCTAAGGAGGAGCAGCAGCAGCAGCGATGGTCTCTCCTCTTCAGAAATATAGGCGAGATCCCAAGAATAGCCTTTTGGACGCTCTTATTTTGAAAGCTGACAGCACTGCCCATACCGTCACCCAACATTAAGGTGCTATCTGTGAAATACTATGCACACCATTCCTTCGCAAAGCCCTCACTTCAAAACACAGGAGAAGACACTTTGTTCTCGTTTTCTTCCCCTACCAATTTGTTCTATCTGAACACAAAGGTTGACGTTGGCTTTACTTCATAAAGCATCGGAACAAAATGCTGTTCTCAAAATACTGCTACAACCACAACAAATGTAAGCTCATGGCTAAAGACACAATATTCTCTAACAGCTTACAGCTTTCTCATTTACATCACAATTGCACAGTGGCTACTAGATTAGGCAACAGAGTTTCTCTTTGCCCAATTAATGGGGATCTGAATCCAGTTCTGCCTCCCAACACAAGAGAAGAGATTTAGGATCAAAGTAGGCAAGACAATGCAAACAGATCTGTTATCCTGTGCAATGCAACAACTAATACAACACTCAAATTCAAGGTAACACCACCTATATTTTTACAGGTACTGATCTATCTATTTACATACTGTTCCTACAACCCTCCAATCCATATATAGTCAAGGTATGTTGTATGCACAGAGTATTTTATCCATTTTTATTGTAAAGTTACTGTAAGGACAAAATCTTTTGCATGTTTGGATGGAAAAATGTCCTGGCTGAGAATTGTAGGAATTTTTCTTGTTTAAAGAAGCCAAGGGTTACTCCCTGAGCTGTGAGCTTAGTCTAACCATATGAAATAACAAGAGAAAGGTAGAAGCCACTTCTAAGTGTGGATTGCAGGGCTGTTCCACAAATTGCACAGGAAGAAGCCCACATCTGGCACTGCGTGTGCACTCATGCAGCCGCCACGCGTCCCAGCTCTGTGAAGAGGGCACCTGCACAAACCTGTCTTTCCAAGCAGCTGTTTAAAAGATGGAGAGAACTGAGTAGCAAATCACCCCGAGCTCCTTACAGAATGGATGAGACAGACATGTAAAAATACTTTCGTCACCTTGACACTTTTAGGGCTGAATGTTGCTGAATGCCTAAGAACGTCAGATGGGGCAAGGACAGTCGCTGTTGGACGCCAGAGCCAGAAGCTCCCGAGCCCACGACTGTCTGTGCCCCTGCCCCGCGCGGCTAGCTGCAGAACTCTTGTGAGAGGGTCCCTTCCTGGGCAGTGAAAGGCCCTCCGGCTCTAGCCTGGTGTGGCCTACCCAGCTGAGCGGAGCCTGCCCTGAGCGGAGCCTGTCCCGGCCAGGAGGGCTGTAAACGGCTTCAGGGCGGCCTCCTGCTGCACCTTGCGGCTCAGCCCTGACACAGGAGAACGATTACTTTTGGATTCCTCGAGAATAAGGGCTAAACTACACATCATGCATAGCAAGCGACTGGTTTTCACCATTCGGTTTACCATTATGTCCAGAGATGGGTCCCTCATTTAGATGGGGCCCAGTATGTGCAGGTAGGGAGGATTTAAACCCATTCATTCCCCCCTCCAAAACTCTCTCTCTCTCTCTTAAAAAAAGGAGGGGAAGGAAAAAATGACACTACGGTCATTGGTTCCATTGGTTTAAACCTTCCCGACCCACACATGGTTGTCCATGTGGACAAACAAGACACTGAGAGTCTGGCTATCACAGGCGTCCCGTAAAACTGTACTATATCCTGGGGTACAGAAACTACCAGATGGCCATAGGAAATAGATGCTGTGAGCCACTCTGAGAACAAAAATGCTTAACTCTCCAAGGCTGAAAAGACATCCACCCACCTATAAAATATTGGCTGTGAAGTTCACAACACTGACAGCCTTTTAATAAGTACCTTACCATCCACAGCTTTGCCAAGATAAATGTACAGCTATCTGGTTAGTGTAGCTAGAACTGTGTGGGTGGAATACTTGTTAGCATTTTGCAAATATATTGTATTTTATTGCTGCTGTGAGTTCAAATACATACACAGCTTGCAATAATTATTAAAACCCCAAATAAGGGTACTTACAGGGACATGTTATGTATTTTATGTAGTGAGCAGTTCAGTCCTAAGGAAGGCTTACCAGAGTTCATCCTAGATGTTAAAAGAAGTGTTTCTGACATGGATATCACTTTACATAGGAAATTGTTTTGAGCCCTGTATGCACCCTTGTTACATGGATGTGTCTATCTGGCCCCACAGACATGTCAGTTGGGATCAGACCTTGATGTGGATATACATGACTCGCACACGTGCATGTTCATCACCGTGTGACAAACAGGGTAACAGGCAATTTCCTACCCAGAAGAAATGTCTGGTTTTTTCTTTAAGTCAATGGGTGAAGCCGCCTTAAGATGGAGCAAAGGAACAAGAGAGAGTACTCTGGGGAGAGTGGAAGAAAGATGGAATCACAGAAAAGAGTTCACTTAAAAAAGGGCAAAAGGAAACCCAAAACTAAAGCAAAACACAAACCAAAGAAATAAACACCGCTGTTCACATCTAAAGTTGAACAACTGCATATTCTCCCTAGGTCTGCTTTCTCATGCAACGCCCCCAAATAAAATGCACAAATGCCTTAAAGGTAATTTAAAAGGAGCGTAGAAAGAATTGTCAAGAGTTCTTGACAAAGCACAGGGGGTTGGTAGTAACTTAATCCCTTAACAGGATTGCAGGTTCTTTTGGGGAAAAAAAGATCATGTGTTCTAAAAACCACTGCAAAATGTGTATTTCTCTGACAGCTGCCTTGTGTCAAATTTTAGATTCTGAAGGGTCTATTGGCACGGTTACCTGGACATACAAGACTAACACGCATTTAACAAGATCTGGAAATAAGTCTTCTATTGTGTGTGTAATTACTTCATAACTACTGGTTTATTTTCTGCTTGAATAATTTGTGTGTGCGTGAACATACACGCGCAGGGGAAAACATTTCAGCAGTAAGTGCTCTGTGCATTGCAGGTATAATAAAGTTGTAACACAGAGCTTGGATGTTTCCAGACGAGGCTTTAATTATGGCATCATCCTGCCTCAGTCATGAAAATTTATTGGGGGGGGGCAGGAGGAGAGATTGTGTCATCTTGTACTTGAAACTTCCTATATTTTCCCACCACTTCTTCAGTCTTTTTTCATACTGCAGGAGATCAGTTAAGAAGAAAGCTAAGAAATTGCTACACAATAGCACAAGGAGTCCAGTCGGCTGTCTCGAACACCCATAGTCTCACCTAACCAAAAACACAAAACAAAACCCTAGCCTTTTCTTGAAGTTTTGTTTGCCCAGTAGAATTTGTTGGTGCTTATCTTGCTAACAGGAACTAGTTTTAGGGCAACCAAACACCTGCAAATATGTATGTTCCAATCCTAGGCACACTTACCTGTATTTAAGTGCAACTAAAGTCCGTGGGGCTTACTTCTGAGTAGACATGACTAGGATTGTACTGCTGGTTGACCAGTGATCTGCTTTAGGAAATCTATGGGCCACCTCCTTGCCCCGTAGCAGTTAGTGGCAAAGGCATATTGGCTAGATTATTCGCCCAATCACAGTGAATCGCCCAATCACAGTGGCTTCTTTTCTCTGTGACTGTACAAATCTGGTTACTGTTTAAGCCAGTTGCTTGATTAGATCAGCCTTCTCCACCTTGGGACCCTCCAGATCTGTTAGACCCCAACTAATCTAAATGGTGACCAGGGTTGAGGGGAGAGTAATACTTCAGGAAGGCAGGAAGTTGGAAAAGAACCCATTTAGACCATTTTCAAAACAATTGCGTTAACATGCTGTCTTATACTCACTACCTGGGGGAAGGAGTGCAGAAGACAAGCTTAACATGAAAGACAGGAAGGGTTTTTTTTTTTTTTTTTAAAGAAAAGTGTTTTTCCCCTTAAAACATTTGTGTAATCAAGAGCTCCAGGAACCTCAGGAATGGCAGAGAGCCATTTAGAAATTCAATCCCTCCCCATTACAAGAGAGCTTTATATAGGGTTTACATTGGGATGGGAACAAAAATTACATAACATGTCTACAAGAAACATCTGAGAGAACCTACCCAGACAGAGAAGACACTTGCCATACAAAAAGCTCTTTGGGTGGTCTGACTCTGCCCTTTCACAGCAATCAGAGAGATTTGTCAAGAATAAGGAGTTTAACATCAAATAATGCCGAGGTGTGTATCTGCAGAGCAGCTTTGGGAGCCTGGTCTATGCATGGAGTATCACCTGACATTCTGAGATGGTAAATGGCATCCACAGACTAATACAATTGAGCATTAGGAGCGGAACAATTCATGTATGATGAAACTTTTACCACATATTGGTGGCAGCCTCCTAAACTTATGCAATGGAGTGTTCTCATCTAATAGCTTAGAAAACTTATTGGCAATGAGGGCTATATAAATGTTGCCAATCTCTCTTACTGGCAGCTTGTATGCTCCACAATGCAGATAGATGTAAAGGACAAGAAAGCTTTACAACCATCGTTTTGGTTAATAAAGGTTAAGTCAGTAGCTCGTGTGGTTGGGTGTTTGTGTGTGTGGGCAGGGGAAAAACAAACACATGCTTGCCCTCCACAATGTCTTGTACACCCAACCATTGTTCTAAGTGTGCACATGATTTTTGGACCCAAGAGTTTTCCCATTGATAGCTAAATCTAGTTTAGTAGTCAGCAGTGAGTAGTGACTTTTAGACTACAGGCAGCGTGAAGAATTCCAGAATTTAAATCACAATCATTCCCTCCTTCCAAACAAAAGGCTTCATTCCCTGGGAGTAGCTCCATCTGATAACAATGGGACTTCTTTCTAAGCAGGCACACACAGGGTTGTGTTGTAGCTGAGATACCCACTGCAAACACGGCCAACTCCACACACTTGAGCTTGCTGCAGTAAAGAATAGGATGCCTTTTCTTAGGGGGAACTTACAGGAAAACACACTTCCATTCCAGGAAAGTCAAGTGTGCAATTACCACAATCAGTACTACCTCTTCCACAGAACTTTAGGGCATTATAGAAACATTTAAAAAAAACAAACACAAACATTTCTACAATGGCTGCTCTCCAGCTTTCAGCTAGAATACACAGTAAAGCTGAAACTCTGGTACACCTGAGTGCTGCTGAATGCCCTCTTATGAAGGGACGCTTTTTACTCTGTTTGCAAGTCACACTGGCAGTTAGACGTGGTCTATGCTGCCAAGGAGGAAGATGACAATATGCCAGTGTCCACACACATGCAGCACCTGGCAGATCAGCAATACTGCCCTCCAGCCCCTTCCCTGACATGAAGCTTAATGAAGCATCAGATTTTATTTTGAACTCTGAAGCCCAAAGATGATGGTTTCCCCAAGTACAGCAAGGAGGTCCTTCTAAGCATAACCCTAACCAAGACTTTCTCTGCTTCTTGATTAAGCTGCATTAGAGACAGTTTCACTGCCTGCTCAGTTTCTCATCTGACACAAAATTAGGGATCAGTTTTGACAAACAGCCAAAGCTACAGTGTCAAGTACCTGCTTGGAAGAGCCACTTAAAAGTGGCTGCAAATCTGTCTTGTTCATAACATTCAAAAAGCCAGTCTCACAACTCACACTACTGGCAACAGGAAATTAAGCAAAGTAAAGACAGCAATCCTAGCAGAACATGCAACTGCCATGGTCTGAAAGACCTGTCACTCCAACCATCACCCTCCCCCCTGCCCCGCAATCTCTCTCTCAACTGCTAGAAGAATATTTCAGATTACCTGGACAAATCCACCTTCCCTGGAGGATGTGTTCCATAAAAATCCATCAGTTCCTTTTCCACAGGAACATTGGGCTGGGATCTTTCAATATCCACACACTAAATCTGCGCATCAGGGACTAATTGCACATCACAGTCTAAATGAGCAGCAAAAACCTCATTAAAAGGAGAGCCATTTAAAAAAAAAAAACATAGGTGTGACTCAAGTAATGATGCCTCCATTGAGGGAGCTTCTTCATTGCCCAACCCTTGCGCTGGCCTTCAAATCAGGCGAGAAGAGCAGCCTTCATTAGGTTCTCCCATGAGGCAAAGCAGTCGGACCCAGAGCCTGGACCCAGTGAAGGGGTCTGGTCTTGGAATCGCCTTTCCCACTGAAGGGTGGGACCTGGAGGCTCCTCCTGATAGACAAGTGATTATTTGTCATCCCTCAGCATTAAGTGCGGGGAGGAGGGGGGTGCCTAAGTAGGCAGCAGGAGTGTCAAGTTTCAAAGACAAACTCCCTTCAGGTAGGGCTTCAAGTGGAAAGAGGACAATACAAACAGGAGCACCCATGAATAAGGGACGGGTAGCCAAACATGTGGAAGTTGAGCCAAAGAGACAGGGAAGTCAAAATTGTCTAGGTATTCCCTGCAACCTGTGGCAGATACAAAGGCCGGCATAACCAAGCACCCAGTCCACATGAGGGAAAGGTCGTAGGAAATTCGTGCAGGATTCCCCCTCCCCCAGT